TGTGGGAAGAGGCAGGAGGACCCTGCTTCCAAACAACCAGCCAGACAAGGTGACTCACATTTGTAATCTCAGTACTTGGAGGCAAGTAAAGTATTACTGCACGTTCAAGGCCAGGCTGGCTTAAGGGTGGGATCCTGCCTCAAAAATCAAGCAAAAAATGTAACCAGCAGTCCGTGTCTCTGCTGAGGATGAAGGTCAGTGTTGCTTGTGAATTCTATGTTAATCTAATACTGCCCTTCAGGGACATGGCCTACAGTATACTCATCTTTGTACCCTGTGCCTGACCGGAGGTAAAAACAAGTTTGTTGACTGAATGAATGAATGAATATTAGGAAGGCTCTACAGCCAGTACTTAAAACACCACAAAGTGGAGCTGAAATGTTCACACTGTCTTAACTGTGCCACTCTTACCCGTCTCCCTGCTCCGACTTGCTCAAACCTTTGTACCACTGCTTTGGACACCCCCTGACTCACACCCATAAAGCTTTGGTGAGAACACTTTGACTTTGGTGAGAGCACTTTGACTTTGGTGAGAGCACTTTGACTTTAGGGAGAGCACTTTGACTTTAGGGAGAGCACTTTGACTTTGGTGAGAGCACTTTGACTTTAGGGAGAGCACTTTGACTTTAGGGAGAGCACTTTGACTTTAGGGAGAGCACTTTGACTTTAGGGAGAGCACTTTGACTTTAGGGAGAGCACTTTGACTTTGGTGAGAGCACTTTGACTTTGGTGAGAGCACTTTGACTTTGGTGAGAGCACTTTGACTTTAGGGAGAGCACTTTGACTTTAGGGAGAGCACTTTGACTTTAGGGAGAGCACTTTGACTTCAGGGAGAGCACTTTGACTTGCTACTTTCTTCTTCCAGGTCATCATTACTGCAGTCCTCACAACTGCCCTCCCCTTTGACATCTTCTCAATCTTGTTCAATTAGGTCTTCAAAGAGCAGAGGTGACTGGGAGGTAGGGACAGGAGGGTGTGTACACATGTGTGCATGTTCATGAATGTGCATGTATTTGGAGGCCAGAAGTCAACACTGGGTATCTTCTTCTATTGCTCCTGCCTTACCCTGAATGGTCTGCAGCAACTTAATTCCTAAACCAGGCTTCCTCTAACTCCTCTGGAGTGCTGGGATTAAAGGTATGGTCACTATGACCCGCCTTTCTACATTATTTTCTGAGAAGGTTCTTTAACTGTAGTGGAGAGCTCTGGGAATCCATCTGTCTCTGCCCACCCAGCGCTGGGTTACAGAAGCACATACCAGTGCCCAGGCTTTACACAGAGCTGGGCATCTGAACTCAGTTCCCTATGCTTGTATGGCAGATACTTTATAGACTGAATGGCTTCCCTAGCCCCTATTCATGTTGTTTAAACCACAAAATTTGGGCCTGGAGAGATGGCTCAGAAGGTAAGAATACTTGCTGCTCTTCCAGAGGACCTGACTTTAGTCCCCAGTAGACACACTGGATAGTTCTCAGCTGACTATTTAACTACAAGTCCGGAGGATCCCATGTCCTCTTCTGGCCTCTACACACACACAGACAAATATAAATAAAAAAATTAGTCTTTAGGGGCTGGAGAGATGGCTCAGCGGTTAATAGAACTGACTGCTCTTCCAGAGGACCCTGGTTCAGTTTACATGGCAGCTAACAACTGTCTGTAACTCCAAGATCTGACACCTCACACAGACATACATGTAGGCAAAGCATCAATGTAAATAACATAAACAAATTATAAAAATTTAGTTTTTAAAGATTTAAGATTAAGAGCTGAGCATTGCTGGCTCATGCCTGTAATCTCAGTATGCAGGAGGCAGAGGCAGGTCAATATCTGTGAGTTTGAGGTCAGCCTGGTCTACAGAGTAAGTTCTAGGACAGTCAAGGCTATACAGAAAAACCCTGTCTTGAAAAACCAAAACTAAACCGAACCAAAATTTTAAGATTAAAATAAACCCCTAATGTTTTTAACTAAGTCTCTACCATTGTATCTTATCAATAAAGACTCAGGAGCCAGATGCTGGGGTGAAAACTTTCTAGCTCAGAGACAAAGAACCCTGCAGCTTCCTCTTCCACAGAAAGACAGTGTTCTCTTATGCCATCTGAAACAAAATACCTCCATTCTCCTTACTTCCTCTTACTCTCTATGTAAGGTTTCTTCCTGTCAATCTGGTATGTGCTCCTCTTGACCTATGGTTGCTTTTATTTAATCCTGTTTACAATATTCAAGCAGAAGGCTCCTGGATTAAAGGTATGTGATAAGGCTGAGCCACACCACAACTAGAAACAGGTTTTTCTAGTAAATAACACAATCTGGGGGTTCAAGTGTGGTCAAATATCCTGCAACAACCCAAACTCATAAATTTTTTTGGAGCAGCAAACAGAAAACTAAATTCCTGCAGCACCCATTTCCCTAAATCATGTTTGACATTTGATAAGTCACTTATTCAACAATTATTAAAGCCTACTATGCTGGATGCTGGGTTACCTGCTTACAGGGGAGCATAGCAAGGCACCACTGCATAGCATGGAGTCCAGACGTCTCAGTCTGGAAAGCACTGGCTGACAGATTGCAACTGATCTCACCTTTTGCCACACCAGTAGCCCAGTTTTTCCAACATACCTTCTTCTCCACAAATCTGTGTTCATTCCTATGGTGACTTCTCATTAAACTCCTCTCTGCTATTCAGTAAGTAACCACCCATCCCCTATTCTCGGCCTCTATTAATTCACAGGCCCAGGGAAATTCATTTCAGTGTGAGGCCTTGCCTCCTGCTTTCCAGTGTTTGTCACTTTTTCCCTTGTAACTCTGTCTGTCTGTCTGTCTCTGAGTGGGAGACAGAGTCTCTCTATGCAGCTCTGGCTGTCTTGGAACTCCCTCTGTAGAGACCAGTCTGTCCACAAACTCATAGAGATTCACCTGCTTCTGCCATCTCCAGTGCTGGGATTAAAGGTATGAACCATCATCATGCCTGATTTTTCTTTGAATAACTCTTTTATACTTTATTTATTTTGGTTTTTAGAGAAGGGTTTCACCCTGTAGTCCAGGCTGGTTTGGAGTTCACTATGTATTGTAGGCTGGCTCACACACAATCCTCCTGCCTCGTCCTCTTGAGTGTTGAGATTACAGGCAAGAGCTACTGACACCCACCTTTTGAATATTTTTGAAGGCATTTAACACACAGTCATGGTTTCCAGATCCTACAATATGCAACTTTTCAAGTATCTTATATAACACAGTACAGTATTTGCATATAGCCTCCCATATATTCTAAGTCATCTCCAGATTATAATATCTAACATGATGCAAATCCTATGTAAATAGTTTTATTGCATTGGGTAGGGAATAATGACAAGGCAAAAAATCCCAGTCAGAAATGGTGGGTCATGTCTGTAATCCCAGTACTTGGGAATCTGAGATAGAACTGCCATGAATTTGAGGCTACCCAGGTTATCTAGAGAGGGCTTATGTCCAAAAACAGAATAAAACAAAAAAGTGTATTCGTTTGGTAGACTTTCACTTTCAATTAATTTATTTGGATTTTTTTTAAAGGGTCTCACTATATAGTCCTCTGCTCCCTGCAACTTACTACTTAGACCAGGCTGGCCTTGTACTCACAGGCAGAGGCTTGCCTCTGCCTCCCAAGTGCTGGGACCTAAAGGCATTCACCACTACACCACATTTATTTATTTAATGTGTGTGTGTGTGTGTGTGTGTGTGTGTGTGTGTGTGTATGTGTATGTGCGCGCGCCTGGGTGTATGTTACGTGCATCATGTGCTTGTGGGAGCCCTTGAAGGCCAGGAGAGGGTGCTGGAGCCCTTAGAGCTGGAGTTAAAGGTGCTAGGGTACTGCTGCCTGAACCTGGGTCCTCTGCAAGAGCACTCGAGTCCTCTTAGCCACTGAGCCATCATCCTAGCCACATTTGTTTATCCTAGTATTCTGATCCACACAGGTTGCAAGTCCAAGTCCATCTCATCTTTACCCCCTTACGGGCACTAACTCATCTTTATATGTAGCCAGGTACGGCCCTGGACTTCAGGAGAGCCAGAACACAGTCTCCTTTAGTCTGGGAAGTGATGTCCAAATAGCTCAATCCTGGTCTCAAATTTTGGTGTTTTTGACTCTGACTTGGCCTCTATGCTGTAATTAATACTTGAATCGGCTTTCAAATTGACTAGCTTTCAGAGTAAAATTCTGGCAGCAACAAGCCTTCATTTTCACAAAGGAGTCACTAGCTGAGTTGATTAGTTGGGGTTTGCTTCTCATTTTGCTCTGTATTTTTAAGAAAAAACGGACTTGCCTCAGATTCATGATCCTCCTGCCTCAACCTCTCAAGCACTGGGATTATATACATGCACCATGCACCTTATCATTCCTTTTCTCCAAGTAAAACTAAAAGCTAAATTTATCGTAGGTGTTTCACTTGAGCCCTAAAAGCATTTGACCTTTCAACAGCTTTTAGCCCATATGGCCAAATGAGTGAATGAACAACGACCCATAATTCTGACTCACACCCCTGCAGAGTAAATAAAGCAGGACACTAAAAGGGAAAGCCGGCCTGGGGTCAGAAAGGTGTTTGAAAACGGATGTATCAGGAGCTCGAGAATCATCTACAAAATGAATCAACGAAAGAACGAACCAACCAACGGATGAGCACATTACTGCTTTGTAAAGGTAAGACTAATGGAGGAAATTATTAAGGCGTCTGGATCCATTCCTCAATAAGCTATGAGCTTGAGATGGAGGCTCTCAATAAACAAACGCACAAACAAACAAAAAAACCAATAGAAAAAGTGCAGATACTGAGAATCCCGGGAAACCTTGTAAATGAAGGAGTGGGAGGGAGCCAGTGCGCCTGTGGCACAGGGCCACGCAGGTGAGGTTTCCCTCGCTTTCCAGCAGGCGTACTGCAGACGTCCTGCCGCGTGGCCCTAAGCAGCGTGGCCCCATGCATGCCCTCCTCCTCCAGGAAGCCCTCCTTCCCGCCCTCCTGCCCCGCCCTTACAGGATATCCTCGCGGAAAGAGGTGCCGTGGTTGAGGTTGTGGAAGCGGACGGAGATGCAGTCCCTGACAATGAAGGAGCACCTGGTCTCCTTTTTGTAGGCGCTGAAACACTCCTTGAAGTCCTCGTAGGTCTTAAAGCAGCTGCCTAGCTCCATGGCCCCCCGGGGACTGGCCCTCACCAAGGCCCAGAATCACGCCAGGGGTCAGAGGTCACTGGGTACCTGCTGGCATGGGCCCAGGTGGGGCCCGACTGGGGGGGCCTACAGGGAGCTCGGGAGGAGCCAGACAGCAGACCGGGTACAGCAACCTGGGGCGACTTTGCTCTGTGTCAGAAGGGAAATGACACTCATCCCTTATTATGCAGCCCCGAGGCTCCGCCCCTCGCCGATCTATCCAATCACACGCGGAACTCCCAAACTGGCACAAATACTCTCCAATCGTAAGGCGGAGGTAGCCGCGCCCACTCTGGAATTGACAGGTACATCAACCAATCATAATCTGCGTCTTGCTCCGCGAAGCCCTCGGGATTTCCGGCCACTGGGGCGACCTGCCGGAAGTGCAGTGTGCCTATATAAGTTTCCGCGTAGCTGGTGAGGCTTGGTCTCTCCGGCGCCGACAGCGAGCGGCCAGTATGTCAGCGACAGGAGCCCCGGGGGATGCGCAGGGCGACGCCGACCGCGACGACCCTTCCGGAGACCTCCGTAGTGTGCTGGTCACCAGCGTGCTCAACCTCGAGCCGCTAGATGAGGATCTCTTCAGGTAGCCGGGAGTCGCGGTCCCCGCCGCTTCCCCGTGGCCCCCATTTCTGGGGTTAAGAGCGCTCAGACGCTGCGGCAGTTCGGAGAAGGCGTGTCCGTGACACCCGCCCTTGCTGGTCACTGGGTCACAGGACAGCTTAGCCTGGGAGAATCAGCCTAGACAGGGCAGTGATTTGCTTGAGGGTACACAGCAGATCGGGTTTTAAAACCAATACACAACTCTGATAAACTCAATGCCTTTTTTCCTCCACCCCATCCCTGCATCACTAACTGGGGTCTGGTAACTCATTACTTATCCTGGGGTATGTTTCCTCTGGCATTCCTGAAGTTGGATTCTAGCACGGGTTTGTAACAGGCTTTTGTTTTGTTTTGAGACAGGACGCCACCATATGATCCAGGAATTCACTGCATAGACCAGGTTGGCTTGGAACCCGCAGGGATCCACCTGCCTTTGACTCCTGAGTTCTGGCAGGAGAGCACCTCCATGCCTGGTTGGTTAGTGACAGTTTTTTGTTTTTTTATAAGACAAGGACTCTCCCTAGCTGTCATGGAACTCTCTGTAGACGAGGTTGGCCTTGAACTCGCAGAGACCTGCATGCCTTTTCATCCCAAGTGCTAGGATCAAAGGAATGCGCCATCATACCTGTTTAGTGACAGTTTTGACTCTATAGCTCTCCGATTTTATAAGAAACTATCTTAACTTAGATCTCTTTTTTTTTCCCCCTGGTTTTTGGAGACTGTCCTGGAACTAGCTCTTGTAGATCAGGCTGGCCTTAACTCACAGAGATCCACCTGCCTCTGCCTCCTGAGTGCTGGGATTAAAGGTGTGCGCCACCAACGCCCTGATTGATCTCTCTTTCTTTTTTTTTCCTTTTTTTTTTCTTTTTTTTTTTTTTGGTTTTTACGAGACAGGGTTTCTCTGTATTGTTTTGGAGGCTATCGGTCCAGCCCGGCCTCGAACTCACAGAGATCCGCCTGCCTCTGCCTCCCGAGTGCTGGGATTAAAGGCGTGAGCCACTAACGCCCGGCTGATCTCTCTTTCTTACACCTAGATAATAATAGCTTCCTGGGCCAGGAGTGGTTTTCAAAATGTATTGTAATGAAAAAAATGGTAACCTCAAGGCTGGGCAGTAGGACTCAGGGTTCAGGCTCCAGCACTGGGCAAGCCCTTTCACCTAGAACGCCAGGCCACTTTGTTCATATGTATTAAATTTCACAACCTTAGACCCTTGGACAGTTAGACTTTTTTTTAAAGAGTTAGATGGGATGTCTCTGGGCCATTTTGTCTCTGAAGTCAGTTTTTAGAAGTGACTTGTCAGTTAAGGAGTGCCACTGGCAAGCCTCGTCCTGCAGTCCAGCCCCAGATCTGCTTTTGGGTTCCTTGTGTCCATTCAAGGCCTCCAGCAGCTTCTGGCCTCTCTGCCTTTCCTGGTCTGGGGAAGGGAAGAAATTGTGGCCTTGAAACTGCCCGGGGTTGGCAATGGTTGAGCTGTGTGAACTTGCTCTGTGTACTGCTGCTGTAAAGGGAGGGAGCTAGCTTATTGGGCTTGACTGACATCCACAGAAGGATTGGGTAGACATAAAAATGGAAATTTTGTGCAGCGATGTCAGAGTTTTGAGAGCAGAGTCCCTGGCTTTCCTCGGGTTCCCAGAGAGGACCCAAGTCCTTCCAGAGCGCCCCTCAAGTCTTTCCCACTTTCCTCTCCCCACAGAGGAAGGCATTACTGGGTACCCACCACCCAGCGGCTCTTTGGGGGTCAAATTGTGGGCCAAGCCCTGGTGGCTGCAGCCAAGTCTGTGTGTGAAGACGTCCACGTGCACTCCCTGCACTGCTACTTTGTTCGGGCAGGTAAACCCCGTACCCTGGCTCCTCGCTTTCGGCCACCCTAGTGGCCTGCAGTCATGTCTTCCTGGCTTTGAAGTCTGACTCAAGAGAAAGGGGAGGAAGAAACGGGAGGATCAGACAAGAGGACGGAGAAGGGAGAGAGGGTTCCCTGAAAGGTCCCTAGGGGGCTGAGATGTAGCTTAATAGTGTGCATTTGGCTAGCACATGAAAGGGACTGTATTCCATCTCAGGAATCAGAAGCAGGGAGGGAGCTCAGCTCTGTGGTCTCAACACTTGGGAGGCCGAGATGGGATCTGGAAGCAACCCGGATCCTCCTTGAGGCCCACTAAATCCTTGTTCTCTGGTTCTTATTGTCACAGACTAATATTTATCTGCCACTGGTGGGCCTTTCCTTGTAGCCTTTTTGTTTATTTTCTGTTGAGATAGATAGGGTCTCGTTTTGTGTAGCCCTGCCTGGCCCCAGCCTTCATGACACCAGGCCTGGATCTGTTATTCACTCATTCTTTTGTTTTTATTTGTTTTGTTTTTTGAGACAGAGTCTCACTGTGTATGCCTGGCTGACCTGGGATTCACAGACATCTGCTTGCCTCTGTTTTCCAAGAGCTGGGATTAAAGGCGTGCACCACCACACTCAACCCTCTTTTATTTAAAAAAAAAGTATGTATTTGCTTATTATATATATATATATACATATATATAGTATATGTATATTATATATATGTCTAAATAAATTTATATGTACCATGTTGCTCCTGTTGTCTGAGGAGGCTAGAAGAGGCCATTGGGTACCCTAGAATTTGGAGTTACAGGCAATTGTGAGCCACCATGCAAGTGGTAGGCACCAAATATGGGACTTCTGCAAAAACAAAAAGTGCTCTTAACTGATAAGCCATCTTACCATCCCCCTCTTCACTTTTTTGTTGTTTTGTTTTGAGACAGGGTCTCACTGTGTAGCCTGGCTGGCCTGAGACTCACCATTTAGACCAGGCTACCCTTGCACTGGAAAAGATCTGCCTGCCTCTGGCTCCTGAGTGTTTGGGACTAATGGCTTTCTCCTTCAGTCTTTATATTCTTCTAGGATCAAGACTGCTAAATCTTCAGAGTGCTATAAACCGCTATTGGGCTAGGAGGTAGGCAGTTTGGGTTGGAAATGCAAGCTTCAGCTTTATCATAATTACTACGGTAATCTTGAATGAGATCACTTTCTTCTGCTGAGATTGATTTCATGGGTGAAAGTTAGTAGAATCTTTTAGCCTCTTAAAGCTCTGGGCTCAGATACAGGGGACTTCTCATTGCAAACTCTTAATTCCGGGCTGGGGATGTAGATCAATACTTGTGTGGCTGCTTGCAGAGTGGATGTTCAATTCCCAGGGCCACCAGGAAAAAGCAAAACAATGGAACACTGCCTTGTGCTCTCTTGGAAAAAACAAGCAATGTCCTTCTAGATGAAAGGCCCTTGTAACCCTAGGAAGGTAGAAATGAAGCAACGCCGTTGAGTGCCATAAAGTGTCTGAGTGTTTACTGGGGGCCTAACCCAGGCTTTCCTTGTATGCTAGTTGAGAGTGACTTGACCTTCACTGTAAGGTCCAGAAATGCTGACTTTCTTCTTTTGAGACAGCCTCATGTGTCCCTGGCTGGCCTCAGACTTGCTGTGTAGCTACGGGTGACCCTAAAGTTCTGATCCTCCTGTCTGTATCTTCTGGAGGCTGGGATTGCAGGCACACACCACCATACCTTGTTTAGAACCCAAGGTTCTCTTCATGTTGGGCAAGTACTATACCAACTGAGGCACATCACAGCCCACACTGGTCTTCTAGACTGCTATTCTTCCAGCCTAGTGAGTCCTGGCCTGGTGGTGTTTGTCTTCAAGCTTTGTTACTTAGTCTGTCTTGGGATTCTGATCTTTCTGCCTCAACCTCCTACATGTTGGCATTGCAAACCGATCCCAAAGTATATTAATTAATTGGCTTTAGTTTTGATTCTAAAATCAAGGAACACTTAATTTAAAAAATAGAATAAGTGTGGGCCTATCATGGTGGCATACACCTTTAATTGTAGCATATCCTCTGTGGGGTGAGTTCCAGGCTAGCCATGGCCACACAGTGATATCCTGACTCAAAATAAAACAAAGTAAAGAAAAGAAAGAGATATTAGAATAAGTGTTCCAATAAGCCAAAAGAAGGTGTTGGTGTTTGTACACAGAAAAGGGTAAGAACAGAAACAAGTGGATTGGCCATTTCAGTTACTTCCCTTGGGGCTGGAGGCGTACTCCAGTGGCAAAGCTTAGCAAGCATGAGGGTGACCTTCAGCCCATCTGCAAGGACTTGGTTAATAACTGACAGCTCTTCTAATTTTGCCTGTTTCTGACTTTGCACCAAGTGGAGAAAGCCAATGTGTCCTAACCAATCACATAGACTGTCCCCGTCTAGCTTCCCCCTGCGGCTCCCTTAGGCTCACAGCCTCCGGTCAGGGCACACCTAGCGTATTAGCTGCTTTCTACCGTAGAGATGTCACACTCCTGCCTGTCTGGGTCTCTGCCAAAAGCAAGACACAACATTGAGAAGTCCGTCTTTAAAAAAAGAAAAAAGATGGGCATGATAGTTCACACCTGTAATCCTAGCACTTAAGAGGCAGAGGCAAGAGGATTGTGCTGAATCCCAGGCCAACCTAGGCTGTAGAGTGAAACTGTCTCAAAACAGCAGCAAAAAGTGAGGATGAGGAGAACAGAGGTGTCTGTTTATCAGCTATGATGATGGATGACAGGACCCATGGGTTTACTGGGAGTCACCTCGTCCCTTATGTCCACCGCAGGGGACCCAAAAGTGCCAGTGCTGTACCACGTGGAGCGGACACGAACAGGAGCAAGTTTCTCGGTGCGCTCCGTGAAGGCCGTGCAGCATGGCCAGGCCATCTTCATCTGCCAGGCCTCCTTCCAGCAGATGCAGCCCAGCCCCCTGCAGCACCAGTTTTCCATGCCCACTGTGCCCCCACCAGAAGAGCTGCTGGACCACGAGGCCCTCATTGACCAGTATTTAAGGTGAGACCTGAGGACTCCAGAGGTGGCTCTTTGTTGTTTTTGTTTTTTAATTTTCAAACTTCTTTTATTCTTTAGTTTTTACAATCACGATTCTAGGGATCAAACCTAGGGGCCTCGTGTGTGCTAGGTAAATGTTCTACCACAAAGCTATACCCCAGACCTTAAAACATTTACTATAGGAAAAAACACATTTAGGTCCTGGAGTATGATCCACCTACCTTCAGAGACAGGTAGATCTGTGAGAATTCAAAGCTAGCCTAGTCTACATGGGGGGTTCCCAGCCAGCCAGCCAGCCCTGTGTAGTGAGAGCCTGTCTTTAAATAAAAAAGAATGCAGTACTTAGATGGCTAGATTTTGATGCATCCTGATAGTTTATCCTATTCTCTATTTCTTTCTAACACTTATTATTGTGTGTATGGTGAGTCCGTGTGTGTGCATGCCACAGCACATGGAGGACTGAGGATGACTTTGGAGTTGGTTCTCTCCTGTCTTCATATGGGTTCTGGGGATGGAGCTCAGTCATCAGGTCTGTGTGCCGTCTCACTGCACACCCATTTCTTTTATTTTTATTTAGTGTGTTATTTTATGAAGTCATGGGTTTCATTTTGACAGTTTCATGAATGTATACATATAATCCCAGGGCAGTTTTAGTCCGTCACTCCCTGTTTTTTGTTTTGTTTTGTTTTGTTTTTGTTTTTGCTTTGTTTTTTTTTTTTTTTTTTTTTTTGGCTTTTTGGCTTTTTGGCTTTTTGGCTTTTTGGCTTTTTGAGACAGGTTATCTCTGTGTAACAGTCCTAGCTGTAGATCAGACTGGCCTCAAGCTTAGAGATCTGCCTGCTTCTGCCTCCCAGTGCTAGTACTAAAGATGTGCACCACCACTACCCAGCAGTGTTTTCAAACTATGGCTTCTTCTCATTAGTGGGCCATGGAACCACTAAGTGGGTCTTGACTATAAACAAAAAATATAAACTAGATTCCAGCACTTGGGAGAAAGAGATAGATGGATCTCTGTGATTCCTAGGTTAGCTAGAGCTACATAGTAAGACCCTATCTCAAAAAAAAAAAAAATGGGGGTGGGCTGAAGAGATGGCTCAGCCATTAAGAGCATGTGCTACTTTTGCAGAGGGCCAAATTTGGTACCCAGCACCCACAGGGTGGCTCATAGCCACCTCTAAACCCAGTTCCAAAGGCTTTGACATTCCGTTCTAGCCTCTCTGGGCACTAAACACAAATGTGGTATACATAATAGATGAAGATAAACACTGATACACATAAAGTAATCATAAGTTATTTAAAAATTTTTATGTACATGGGGGGTTGGGAGTATACTCTGATAGAGCTTAGTATGCTCAAGGCTCTAGTTTCAATCTCGGTACTGCATGCACATGTATGTATATATAACTATATATGTGTGTAGAAATATGTGCATTTTATATACAGTATAGATAAACTGAAAAGGAGATATTGGCGTCCACTGTGCAAGGAGGGTAAGGGCCCTCTGTAACTTCAATTTCAGTTGTTTCTTGTTTGTATTAGCATATGTGTATGCTGGATCATAATGTAAAAGGCAGAGATTGTACTCAGCCAACAGCCAGCATAACCGTGGGATAGTTTTATTGTTACTAAAATATTACTTTGGGGCCAGAGAGATGACTCAGCAGGTAAAGGCACTTGCTGTACAAGTCTGATGACCTGAATTCAATCCCTGAAACCCATATAAAGATGTATGTAGAAAACTGATTTTCAGCCGGGCGTTGGTAGCGCACGCCTTTAATCCCAGCACTCGGGAGGCAGAGGCAGGTGGATCTCTGTGAGTTCGAAGCCAGCCTAGTCTACAGAGCAAGTTCCAGGACAGCCTTCAAAGCCACAGAGAAACCCTGTCTCGAAAAAACCAAAAAAAAAAAAAAAAAGAAAACTGATCTTCACATATATGCTGTAGTACATGTGCATACTGCCCTCTGCCCATCCATAATAAATGAAATAAAATATTGTTATAAAATTGACCCTAGGTTCAATTCTCTGTACCTGAATCCAACAATAAACCATTTTTGCAACCACTGGTAAATAGCCTCCAGTCCCCTGACTGATTCCTCCTCCAATTTGAGGCGTGTGATGCTTTGGAGTTAATGTATGGCAGGAGGACCCTGGGACCCTGTTGCAGAGTATGGCCCACTGGCCTGTATCTTCACATTAGTGTCTTCTAAATAGCTTGACTCTACCTTGATAGCATATATTTCTCATTGAGATCACAACAACTAAAGTTTGACAAATGCTGGAATACGGGGAAGAGCTCTGGATGCAGACACATGGCTTCTGGCCAGGACTGTGGCCTCTGTTAGTGCCTACCTGCTATGGGATTTCCCCTTCCAGCAGCCTCTCAGGGCTCTAGATTCTTCATCTAAAGTATGGGAGCAGTCATTTCTCCAACTGTGCCAAAGCAGGAGTGGTCCTGTAGCTTGTGTTGGACACTGGGACAGCAGCAGGGCCTGTGGGATGGGTGTGGGTTCAAAAGCCTGAACAGCCAGGATTCACATCTAGACTCTGTCCCTAACATTTGTATGAGTTTGGGCAGATGCTTGCCCACTCTGAGTCCATACCTTTGGTTATAAATGGAGCTAATCTTAACTCTCACCTCATAAGGCTGCTATGAAGATTAAATAAGAGGTATACAGGCACTTAGCAGATGCTGTTATACCACTAACAGACAAGAATAGAGCATGGGGCTTGGTATGCACAGAAAAGAAAATAATGTATTCTTGTTAAAGGAGCCTGGATTTAGGACTGTACTCATCAATAAGGTAGCTACTAGCCCTGTAGGCTATATTAATGAAATAGAATGAGCAATTCTTTTTTGTATGTGGGCTTTGTGCATGCTAGGCAGGCACTCCGCCATAGAGCTGTATCCCCACCCCACATCTCTCATCAGTGTTGTCCTTTAGTTACAGTAGTCACTTTCAAGTTCTCAGTGTGGCTAGTGGCGGCTGTAGTGGACAGTGCAGATGAACAGTCCCCAGATGGGTGGGAAGGGCAGGGCCTACTGAGAGCACGGGGTGGGGGTGGGGGTGTTCATGGAAATGGTATCACCCCAGCACACAGGGCTCCTTACTGCTTAGGATAGAGAATGCAGACACATTGGGAGACTTTTCTTGAATATTCACTCTAATGAGTGGTTAGATGGATGAACTGTGGGTCCAGACTGCCTGACATTCTCTGAGTCAGCCACCTGGGTTTCCTGTGCTCTCTGCCTCTTATCAGTTGGCGTGATGACCACACTTGTCATGTGAAGTCCTGGCCAAGAATGGGTTATGGTCATGTGCAATGCTTGGGTTGGTGCCTAGGTCTTAACTATGTGTGTTTGCTGTAAGACAGGTCACCTCATTACTCTCATGTTTCAGATGGGAAAATGGGCTCAGAGAGATGACTAACTTGCACAAGGCTGCATGGCTGAAGTGACAAGGAAGGGATTCGAACACTATATATACTGCTTTGCCAGCTCCATGAGGAAGCTTTGCAGGATAGAGGCCCCTATGGAGAAATGGTGGGGACCAGAAGAGGAAGCACAGAGAAGCTCTCTCTCCTTGGGACTCCTTGTCCCTGTCTTTACTTTTAGGGATCCTAACCTCCAGGAGAAATACCGAGTGGGGCTGAACCGAATTGCTGCCCAAGAGGTACCTATTGAGATCAAGCTGGTGAACCCACCCACCCTGAGTCAGCCACAGGCACTGGAACCCAAACAGATGTTCTGGGTGCGAGCCCGGGGCTATATTGGTAAGAGGACCCATGAATTGGAGGAAAACACTCCAGGGCTCTAGGCCTTGCCACGTATTTGCCCTCTGTTGCTTGGGATCCCACACTCTCTTTGGGCTCCTTCCCTAATCTGAGTTATGCAGAATTTGGCTCAGTTTCTCACCAGAGCCCTTACCTTTTAACATGAGAATAATGAGATGACTGTAAATCCATTGTTGGACCTTTCTGGGGGAAGCAATGTACCTTGCTGAGGTTCTTATCTAGGTCAGTGACACCATAGACATCTTTGTGCAAATTGGAAGATGCCTGTTCTGGGACCATAGAGAGTGGTTGGGGGTGAGAAATTTGGGAAGAATGGATTTGCATTTGTCTTACCCCTGTCCTCCTTAGTCCCCACCTCCCTTATCCTTACACACACACACACACACACACACACACATCTCTCTCTCTCTCTCTCTCTCTCTCTCTCTCTCTCTCTCTCTCTCAACCCTGGAAGATGCTCTTGCACAATGACTAATTGGTGTGTGGCAGCCCTTTTCTCCCCACTTCCCTGCAGATCCTGAGCTGGAAAGCCAGGAGCCCAGGGCTGATGGGGTTGGAACCTGTTGCAGGGGAGGGCGACATCAAGATGCATTGCTGTGTGGCTGCCTATATCTCTGACTACGCCTTCCTGGGTACAGCATTGCTGCCCCACCAGTCCAAGTATAAAGTGAACTTCATGGTCTCGCTGGACCACTCCATGTGGTTCCATGCCCCCTTCCGAGCTGACCACTGGATGCTCTATGAGTGCGAGAGCCCCTGGGCTGGTGAGTGTGGGCCTGTGGGCCAGTGTCTTTGGGATGGTAGGGAACCTGCTGTATTTATAGATGCTGCTGCCTCTTCCTACTTTCCAGGGATGCTGCACAGGGCCATTGCACTACTGACTGCCCCTCTAGGTATTCGTGTTGTTTTCAAAAGTATTCAAACGTGCCAGAAATGACTGAATTTATCTCAGAGACCTAGTGCGGATGCCTAAACCACATTACATTCCATGTATGAACTTGGGGAAATGCTTTCTCCTTTCTGATTTTTTTTTTCAGAGAAGGGTAAAGGTAAGATCTCATTATGGAGCTGTGACTTGCCTGGAACTTACTAAGATCCACATATTATCTGCTCTGTGTGCTACTGCACCCCAGCTTTTTTTTTTTTTTCTAAATCAACGAGAGTCTCATGTAACCCCTGCTTGTCTTGAGCTTTATATGGAATGGAGACCTTCCTGGAACTCCTGATCCTCCTGCCTCTACCTCTCAAGTGCAGTAGCCACCATGCCCTGCTTCTCAGTTTTTTCATCTGAATAAACAGGTTATGTTAGACAGCACTGTCTAAACCCAGTAAGCCATTAGACTGCTGCTTGAAGGAGCTTTTTCTAAACAGTTGCATTCTGCCTCAGCAGGTCCTAGGTCAGGTCTAGAAAACTGTCCTTTTTGTTTGTTTGTTTTTTCAAGAGAGGGTTTCTCTATGAAGTCCTGGCTGTCCTGGAGCTTGCTCTGTAGACCAGGCCTTGAACTCAGATATCCGCCTGCCTCTGCCTTCTGAGTGCTGGGATTAAAAGTGTGTGCACCATGCCCAGCTGTAAACTGTTTTAAGGAGCTCCCTGGGCTGGCAGGATGGGGGCAGGGCACTCAGTGGTCTCTAAGGATACTCCTGTAGGGAACCGAGAGAAACCCAGACTCACTGATGACTGGTGTTAGAGCCCTGGCTCTTTTATAAAGAAGTACACTTCAGAGGAAGAAAAGCTTTGCTTTATAAAATGAACAAAACTTAAGTAACCCCTTACAGTCAGGAAACGGTTACTCAGATACCACCAGCATCACAGGACAAGACTCACGACCTTAAAGTTAGTTAGGACACAATCAGTTTTGGCCTGATTCTTGGGGCCAAGCCTGAGCCTCTTTGAATTTTAGTGTCATTGTCTGTAAAACAGTATAAGAAACGAAGCCCGCACTCTCTGGCTAGTTAGATCAGAGTGGGCTCTGCTGTGTGTAAAGAAAGCCAAAGTTAGCTGGGCGTTGGTGGCGCACGCCTTTAATCCCAGCACTCGGGAGGCAGAGGCAGGTGGATCTCTGTGAGTTCGAGGCCAGCCTGGTCTATAGAGCTAGTTCCAGGACAGCTTCCAAAAACAACAATACAGAGAAACCCTCTCTCAAGAAAGAAAGAAAGAAAGAGAGAGAGAGAGACAGAGAGAGAGAGAAAGGAAAGAAAGAGAAAGAAAGCCAAAGTTAGCTTCCTAAGGATAACTAACTCAGGCTAGAGCCACCAAGGTTAAGAACCTCTAGATGGAAAGGGAAGGGAGGTCATACCTCCTGGTCTCAGGTCCTCTCTGAGCCACTCCCTCCCCTTGGTGGTGGATGGCCAGCTGGGAGGACTTGCTTGGCTTATCATAAAAGGAAAGAATGGGATTTCTGACCAGTGGCCTGAGAAGCTGCAGCCTGCTTGGCCAAGCCTGGGAGACTGTCAGAGTGCCTTTCTCTGTGATCAGATGTGTGAAAGTGCTTTTAGACCACCCTCCCCCAGTGACTGTAACAGGCTCACAAAGGGGTAATTGGAGTAGTCCTGATGGCCCAATGAACCCTGGTGTGGGGCAGCTCTGCCTTGTGTCAATCCCTTCCTCAGGCAAAGCAGAGGCCGCTCTCACCCTCTCCTTGCCCACAGGTGGCTCTCGGGGGCTAGTGCACGGGCGGCTGTGGCGTAAGGACGGGGTCCTTGCTGTGACCTGTGCCCAGGAGGGTGTGATCCGATTGAAGCCTCGGGTATCAGCAAGTAAGCTGTAGTCAAAGATAACTGGCTTGGCCTGGGATTGTAAAGAACTCTTTCTACTGCCATTCCTGAGGCAGGAGTCACAGCGGAGAGCTGGGCTGCCCGCCCCTCATGTCTAATAAAGAAACTGCCAACACTGGAGTGGCTGACCTTTCATTTCCCTGGGCAGAACTACAGCCCTCCTCCTGGCTCTACACTCCTGTTGTAGTCCCCAGCCCTTCAGCCAAGCAGTTTTACTGGTGCAGAGGCCCATGGAAAAGGAAGCATTGATCCTGACCTTGGCCACAGCCTCTCTGGCTGTGGTGGGCTGAAGAGCCAGTGTCAAAACTTCCTCCTTGTATCATCCTAGGGTAACCCCAGGCAAAGCCTGTTTGGAGTCCAGCTCCTACGAAGTTCCTCGCAGTCTGCTGCAGACTCTTTCTGGAACTATTTTAGGGTTCCCAGAGCCCTTTCCAGGCCCCTGGTTGCTCACTGTGTCCTCTATGGCCTCCAGCCCCCTGACCTGGGGCAGCCCCTCTCCCAGAAGTGGCCTTGAGACAGGTGGAAGTTAGGCCAGCACCTCTTTGATAAGCAGCTCCTTGAGGCTGGGGGGTGGGATGGGGGTGAGGCCTGCCTCTTGTAGGGACTGAAGCTGGGCCTCCGTCTGCCGTTTGTCTAGGCCCAGGCGCCAGGAGAGCCGCACATGGGCCTCTAGAAAGGGTGCCAGGAAAGGATGGGGTCTCTTGTCCCCCAGCAGCTGCAGTGCCTTCTCACTACAGGCTCGCGCTTCCCCAGGATCCTCCAGCTCCTGATGGCACACAGCCAGCCCAGCCAGAGTCAGCAGGGGGCGGTCTGGGCCGTAAGGGGTGCCCAACTGGGTCTGCAGCTGCCAGGCGTTGGCCCAAAGTGCCAGAGCCTCGCGATAAAGGCCAGTGCAGGTGAGGCTCTGTGCACGCCGCAGCTCCGGCAGCACGAAGAAGTCGTGTAGGTCTGGAGCATTGCGTAGCTCCGGTACTGCCTGCAGGTGACCCAAAAACTGTTCAAAGGCCCGGCTACGGCGGGCAATGGTTTCTGCAGTAAAGTTCCGCCGCAGGCGCTTACGGGGGAAGGAGATGGCAGCCATGGGTCCCCGGAATTGCCGCTGCAGGTTTCTGTGCAGCCGCTCGAAGTCCGAGTAGCGGCGGGAGATCTGGGCTGGCTGGTGATCTGGTGGCCCTGGACCCATCACGGCGATGGTGTAGAGCTGCAGGGAGGGTGGATGTCAGGGCTGATGTAAACTCTGTGGGTCCTTTCCCTCCTTCCCACACTCCTGGCTTTGCTCTCCCACCTCAGTCCCTCCCCCTGGGACTGTCCAGAGCGGTGGCCAGGAACCCACTCCCATCTTACCTGAGACTCCTCTGAAATGACCCAGGCCCAAGGCAGCACAGGGGAAAGAAACACAGAAATAAGCTTCAGTGTCTGGGGCTGCACCCGCTTTCTGCTTCTGGGAAAGTTCTCCCTGGTCCTAGGGAAACCCAGACCCACTTTTTGGGCCTCTGAGCCAATCTGAGAACCAGCTTGGAACTGTGTGCCACTCTGGGTACATAGCTGCCCCCACATTACTGGCCAAGCTCTTTCAAACTAGATCAAAGGACAGATCTTCAGACAGCCTCAGGAACAAAAATGGAGAGTTCACTGTACCAGGAACCATGTAACCTCAAGTCAGCCTCCTTCCAGTGACCTTGGGCAAAGCAGTAACCCTAAGCTCTGCCTCTGCTCTAGGGGAAAGTTCCCAGGTAAGGTCATTGTCTGCTTAGGCATGGAATGTTGATGCTCAAGGCTTTTAGGTGACACACACTGAGTATACTGCATCATAACAGTGATTCCTGTTTCTTCTCTTCTTTTTTGACCCTTGAGACAAGAGTCATACTGTGTAGACCACAATGGCTTCTAGTTCACTAACCTGGCCCAGCCTCCTGAATAGAAGGACTAAAGGAATGTGTCACTATGCCCAGTCCCTTTCTTTTTTGGGGGGTGGGGGGTTGGCGTGTGTGTGTGTGTGTGTGTGTGTGTGTGTGTGTGTGTATTGATGTGTCTGAGCACACATACCTGAGCTTCATGCCATAGCTTGGAAATGGGGGTCAGAGGATACCATTCAGATTCAGTTTTCTCTTTCCATCATGACAGGTGCTGGACTGTTTTGCTGGCAAGATTGTGTTGTGTTTTCTGAGACAGTCTCCTGTGCTTCTGGCTGATATCAACACTTTTTATGTAGTCGAGTGTTGACATTACAGGAATACACCAACACACCCGATGGATGAGGAGCTGGGGATCTAAGTCAGGGCTTTGTGGATGCTAGCCCAGCACTCTACCAACTAAGTAAGCCACACCTCCAGTCCTCTGGAATACAGAGTCCAGCCTCTGTAGCCCAGGCTAGCCTTGAACTCCTGCTGGTGATCCTCTTGTCTGTCTGAGGGCTGAAATTACAATCACAGGCCACCAGGAATGGCTTTTCTTTCTCCTTTAAAACAATTTTTTTTTAGCCGGGCGTTGGTGGCGCACACCTTTAATCCCAGCACTCGGGAGGCAGAGGCAGGTGGATCTCTGTGAGTTCGAGACCAGCCTGGACTACCAAGTGAGTTCCAGGACAGCCTCCAAAGCCACAGAGAAACCCTGTCTCGAAAAACCAAAAAAAAAAAAAAAAAAACAAATTTTTTTAACCCCCTGAGATAGGGGTCTCCCTTTGTTGCCTGGTGGCTTTTGACCTCCTAAGCTCAGGTGATCCTCCTGCCTCAGCCTTCTAAAGAGCTGGGACTACAGTTATGTGCTGCTATACTCATCCTTTCTAATGATTTTTTTAAAGCACAAATTGGCTCTTCTAACACTCTTCAAGTCTTTATTTTTAGAAGGGCCAGAAATCTCAGTTCAGAGCACTCTTCAGGGTGCAGCATCTATCTGGGCAGGGTTTAATGCACCCTGACCCTTCAAGCACGTTGTCAAGGAGTGACATCTGTAGCCTCAAACTGTGTGTGTGTGTGTGTGTGTGTGTGATATTCGTGCACATATGCCACAGTAATATATGGAGGTCAGAACAACTTTGGGGGGTCAGTCTCTTTCCATTATGGGTTCTGGCAATCAAACTCAGGTTGTCAGACAAACGCCATTACCCATGGAGCCATTTCCCCGGCTAGCAACATTTTAAATACAAAGACTGACTGGGCAGTGGTGGCACAGGCCTTTAATCCCAGCACTTGGGAGGCAGAAGGAAGCAGATCTCTGTGAATTCAAGGCCAGCCTGGTCTACAAAGAGAATTCCAGGACAGTCTCCAAAGCTATAGAGAAACCCTGTTTTGGGAAAACAACAAAGAAAACCCAACCCTGTAAGGATGTAATCATTCCTGTTTGGCAAACAAGGATGTCACAGACCTGAGAACCAGAGTAAGGATTAATTAGGACTAATGAGAATTGATGCCAAGGCGACGGTTTAAAGGGGCACCTGCAAGTGTTCCACATTAAAGGGCTACCCAGCAAACCCAGACATTTTCCTCAAATGTGTCCATTAGAACTGCCAACAGTCCCATTCTTCCAGTTAGGTTTACCTAGTCTCCCTTGTTTTGAAGAGTCACAGTATGTTTTATAAACCCTATTTTATACCCACCAGCTCTGCACTGTTCAGGCATGCTGACTGTGTACCTTTTCCTTTCTTTCCTCCCAGGCTGGCTTTGAAGTCCTGATCCTCTTGCTCCTATCTCCCAAGTACTGGACATACAAGTCTGACAGGCCTCACTCACACCCAACACAGCTGTTTTCCACACTTCAGAAACGGGCTCTGCAGTAGCCCTGTATGTATCTAAGTTGATTTTTTTAAATGTTAATATTTTCATTCTTTGAGACTTTCATATATGTCTACAACATATTTTGATCATATATACTCCCTCTGTCCTTACCCGTTTTCACCTGATGCTTGTAATGAACCACCAAGACAGGCAGTGGTTGTAGTTGTTGGTGCTCAGCTGTATGCCAATGGCAGAATACTTCCTAACGTGCACGAGGCCATGGCGTCCAAAAGCCCCCCCCCCAGCATGGTGTGACTGTTGTTCCCTTGACAGGCCTAAGCGCTTACCCCATGCCTCGTGCTGGGCCAAGTACTTCTCCACTTAAGTGTCACTTAACCATCCACAGCGCGACAAGGAAGTGTCTTGTCTCCATCAGCTGAGGAAGCAGGCTTCAAGAGGGAGTGAAGGGCAAAGACTGGCCCTGAGATCTGACTCTAAAACCCCTGCTCCTGGCCTCCAGAAGAAAGGAGACATAGGGTGCTCACTGTACAGAGGAGGTGGATTCATTTTCTAGACACAGGTCAGGACAGAAGATGGCCCCTGCCCTTCCTTGGGCCTTCCCACCTAGGTTCCCAGATCACCCCCATTCTTTTCTGAGAGAGCTGCTCTTTGCTGGCTGATCCTTGATGTCTCATTCCTGTGCATGACCCCTTACCCACGCTCTGGAATGTCTGCCACTTAAGATTAGACCAGAGCTCAGTAGTATAGCATCTGCTTAGTGTGCATAAGGACTTGATCCTTAACAAGATATAAAGCCTGCATCATCCATCAGTCCCTGCGCAAAGTGGAACAGTCAGTCACCTCATGGGTGTGGTCCTTGTTGCTAACGGCAACAGGGAGGAGTGGAGAGACCCAAATATGGGATAGGGCTCCAGGCCCCAGGCTTGCTGAGTCAGGGGTGGAGGAGGGTGTGAAGAGGAGGGAAGTGACAAGCTGGGAGTCACACTGCCAGGACAGGACCAGCTAGCTCAGATGGGTTTCAGGCCTGGAGGGAGCAGGACCTGATTAGTCTCCCCTTACAGCCAGGAAAACAGACTCTAGGCTGGGCTCCATTCTGCTCATTGCGTGGCTCCTCAGTCCTGGCGGTGCTGGAGGCGGAGACCCTCGAGAAGTGACTGATAGGGGTTGCAGCAGGCCCTAGACACCTGACACTTCAATCTAAAGTCACTAAGAATATAGGCTCGGCAGAGTGCCTGTGACCAGAGATAGTGCAGATTTTGGAATATTTGCATATACACAATGAGATTTCTTAGAGATAAGACCCAAATCTAAATACCAAATCTACAAAGTACAAAAAAATACTGTTTTAAGACAGGGTCTCATGTATTTCAGAAGACTGTCCTTGTTATGTAGCTGAGGCTGATCTTGAACTCCTGATCCTCTTCCCCATCCCGAGTGCTGACACCACAGGTGTGTGCTACCACACCCAGTTTATGTAGGTAAGCACTCTACCAGCTGAGCCTTACATCCTGGCCCCTAAGACTCATTTGTATTTCTTTCTTTTCTTCCTTTGGTTTTTCGAGACAGGGTTTCCTCTGTGTAACAGCCCTGGTTGTCCCAGAACTCACTCTGTAGACCAGGCTGGCCTTGAACTCACAGAGATCTGCCTGCTTCCACCTCCTGAGGGCTAGGATTAAAGGTATGCACCACCACCACCACCACCACCCTTTATATTTCTTATGCAAGTTATACACACAGCATAAGGTAGCGTGGGTTTTTGTTTTGAGACGGGGTTTTATGTAGCCCACACTGGTCTTGCTATGTGTCTGGACTGGCCTGGAGCTCCTGATACTCTACCTCTACTTCCCAAATGCACCAGCACTCTCGGCTCTGAAGGTAGTCTTATGTGATTTGGGGGCTTTGGCATAAAGCTGGTTCTTGAGCATGGTGGGCAAGTGCTGTATCAATGGGCTACATTCCCACTTGGTGTTTTGCCCTTTTTAGGGTACAGGAGGGTGTCTAGGTGTGTATCCTTAGCTGTTCTGGCACTCACTCCTTAGCTCAGGTTACCTTTGAACTCGTGACAATCTTACTGCCTCGGCCTTTCAGGTCCTTACGCAATATTTTTGAATAGGTCTACATTTTGAGCACATATCAGATGAAGTTAGATGTGGAATTTTCCACTTGTGGCATCATGTTGACACTCAAATGCTTAGGATTTCCAAGCATTTCAGATTAGGGAATCTGACACTATATAGCTACCATTTTAATATTTCACAATGCCAGACAATGCTAAGGGTTCTGCCTGGTCTCACTTACCTCCTACTATAATACTATGCACTGTCCTCCTCCTCAAGTGAGAAAACTGCAGGCCATCAAGGTTACGGAACCCACCCTCAGTGGAGCCACTGATAAAATATATGGGGTGTGCATCAAGGCTGATCTGGATCCAAAGCGCATTTCCCTAACCCTGACCCATGCAACTGGGTCTCAAGTCTATCTCCTGCAGCTGACAAAAACCCACGGGGTACAGAACAGCACACACACCAGTTGTGACAGGAGGCAGCTCCTTAAAGGTCACTTTCTCAGTGCCATTTATCCTGCCTCAGTTCTCCCAGGTGTAGAATAAGGACAGTCATTTACAACTGCATAGCCAGAACCCCAGAAAACTGTGGTGTTCCCTACTTTCTCTCAGCCAGACTTCTAGACGCACTGCCTAAGCGTTCCTGGAACCTCACTCACCACGTACTTGGAGGGAGGGTCCTTGACAACATTGGCGCTGGTCACCTCAAAGAGCAGCCGCTGTGGAACTAGGGTGTTCCGAGACTTCTTCCAGAAATCCTGCAGCTGCCGAGTCAGGAGCTGACTGCCCCGTTGTCCATCAGGTGGGGGACTTCGTTCTGCACAAGCACATGACCAGTCATGTTAAGGGGCTGGCTACCGCCGGGGTTAACATAAACAAAATGCCATGACCTCATTCACCAGAGCGAGGTGGGATTTATCCCAGTGCCTGGCTCACAGTAGATGCTAAATATTTCCACCCAACGCAGCTAGCACACCATACTTTTGTTTCCCTGGTCCTGTGCATTTAATATCCACAAAAACCCTGGAATGGGATGGTTCCCACGGTTGTGACTCAAGGTCACATAGCCAAACAATGTCTGCAAACGGTTAAGGTGTCAAGAGTTTCAGGCAGATAACTCAGAGGCCCCGGGATGCTCTCGGAACGTGGCCAGCAGGGAGGCCTAACCGAGCCCCGAGGTTCCTGTCTCTGTCCTCCCGCACTCGCCTGCGTCTTCTCCCGATGTCCCGTCTCCGGAGGGCAGCGAGTCCGGGCCCGCCTCGTCGTCCTCGTCTTCGTCGTCCGGGTCATCATCTGCACTGGTGAAGCTGAGAGTGCCGCTGAGGCGGGAGGACAGGCCCTCGGCGTCGTCGTCCTCCAGCTCGGAGCTTTCAGGGAACTGCTCGGCCTCGGGGCCTGCCGCCGCCTCCCCGGGGCCATCGCTAGCCAGGGCGTGTCGCAGCCGGTGCAGGAGCCGCGAGGCCATGGCACCCAGGGGGGAGCGCGCCAAGCTGAGTCCAGGGCCGGAGAGGGAGGGGAGGGGACCCCCGCCCGGAGAGTGGCCCGGGGGCGTGTCAGTGGGCGTGGCAGATGAGGCCACACCCACAGGCAGTCGCAGCCGGGAACATGCAGAAGGCCGGCCTCTCCCTCTACCCTCCCTGCAGGTCGGGATGCGCCTTCACCTACCTACAGCGTGCGTTCGGGGCGGGTTCCCGGGATCCGGTGCAGCGAACAACAGCTTTAAGGGGCTCTCTGCCCAGGCCGCTCACAGCGCCGCCTAGCCGCTCCATGGCTGTCACCCGCCCTGCCCCGCCTGGCCCCTCCCGCTCCCGGAACTGCTAGAATCCCGGACCGCTGCCTTCTGGAAGGACGCGGGCGGTGGCCGGGCTAGCCCAGGCCTCCCCCGAAACCGTCTCTGCTCCGGCTGACCGTGTACCATCTGGGACTTGTCCCACCCCTCCCGGGGCAGCCCCAGTCTTCCCCCCAATTTCCATGCAGTGCTGTGTAACTTTACAATGTAATTTTGTGGCATTTGGGAACGGCTCTCCCTGAAATCCGGCCTTGCCCAGCCTAGGTTTTTCTCGTATGAAACAAGAATTCTAATACTACTACTACTTTTTCAGTTCTTGTTAAAAACCTTAGTCCAGGCCTGGTATGAGTGTTCCTAAGCCTTTTCAGTTTTGTTTGAGCTTCACCCATGGGAAGTAGTCAAACAGGAAAATAGACCCAGAGAAGCTGTTACTTGTCCAAGGTCACACAGTTTGCTAGAGATTTCTAGAGTGGATCTCTTGGAGTCGACTTCTTTTCCCTCGGATGCAGAGTCAGTCGGATAATTTTTTTTTTTTTTTTGGTTTTTCTCTGTATTGTTTTTGGAGGCTGTCCTGGAACTCACTCTGTAGACCAGGCTGGCCTCGAACTCACAGAGATCCGCCTGCCTCTGCCTCCTGAGTGCTGGGTTTAAAGGAGTGCGCCACCAACGCTCGACTCAGTCGGGTAATTTCTATAGCTCGGGAGAAGAGCAGTTTTATCTTTTATTTCCGAGTAGCAGTCGTCAAGAAAATGATTTCTGTTTCCTGTCTCAAGGCCTAGCAGGGCAAACTCAAAAATCGGCCAGCTAGACATTAAAACACAGTATCTCAAAGAGCAGGCATTGTGGCTTTAATCCTTTAATCCCAGCACCTGTGAAGCAGAGGTAGAAAGAGCTCTTTGAGTTCAAGGCTAGCCTGGTCTACACAGTGAGTTCCAGGACGACCAGAGCTACAAAGAGAGATCCTGTCCCAAAATAAGGTGCCTCAGACAGTATATCTCCTACCCACTTTCAGGGCACAGGAGATGGATGGGAAGACACTTTTGAATGGAAAATCTGGCCTTCATTGAACAGAAAGGTCTAGTTTTTAGGACTCATGGTGTCCGATTATAGGCATTTCACACACTCACATGTAGGTCTCAGAGGAGGCAGCTACTGGACAGTAATGGTTCATTTCCAGTATGCAGAGACTGATGCTGGAGCTGGAGAGACAGCTTTAGTGTGGAGAGTGTGTACTGTTTTCACTCAGGACCAGAATTCCCGTAGCCAGCACCCACAACTGGGGGGGGGGGCGGCTCATAACCTGCAGTAACCACAAGGAACCCAATGCCCTCTTCTGGCCTCCAGGAGTATCTGCACACATGTGTACAAAACCCAAAAACAGCCGGGCAGTGGTGGCGCTTGCCTTTAATCCCAGCACTCGGGGAGGCAGAGGCAGGTGGATCTCTGTGAGTTCGAGACCAGTCTGATCTACAAGAGTTAGTTCCAGGACAGGCTCCAAAGTCACAGAGAAACCCTGTCTGTAAAAACCAAACCAAAACAAAACAAACACAGACACACCTATACACATAATTAGAAGTAAAACAAATCTCCAGGCATTGATGGTGCACGCCTTTAATCCCAGCACTCAGGAGGCAGTCAGGCTCTGTGAGATCAGTCTGGTCTACAGAGTGAGTTCCAGGACAGGCTTCAAAGCAATAGAGAGAAACCCTGTTTCAAAAAAACCAAAATAAATAAATAAATAAAACAAGTCTTAGAAAAATGCCAGGCATGGTGGTGTACACTTTTAATTCCAGCAGAGAAAAAGGCAGCAACAGGGGAGTCTCTGTGAATTCAAGGCCAGCCTGGTCTACGGAGTGAGTTCTGGGCCAGCCAGGGTGACACAGTGGAGCCTGAGGAAAGAAGGGAGGTGGAAAATAGGGGCGCTGGGACTTAAGCTTGTAGGTGATTTCAAGCTCTAGTAAGTCTGCATTTGCTTACAGGCAGACTGAGGGCAGAAAAGACACCACTCATTTTCCTGCCACGGGCTGGTTCTTAGCTTTTCCTTCGGTGTGTGCCATGTGGATCAGGACGCTCAGCTGAGGTTCAGCCAGGCATGGTCACGCACACCGGTAATCCCAGCACCTGAGAAGCTGAGGCAGGAGGATCATGAGCTCAAGGCCTAATGCAAAACAACAGCAGCAGCAGCTACACAAACTGGAAGAAATGAAGGAAAAACATAACATCATGGAAAGAAATCTGGTCTGTTCAGTCAGGCGGGAAAGGCAGCATATCTGCAATTGTGGCACTTGGGAGGCTGAGGCAGGAGGGTCGCAAATTAGAGGGCAACTGAACTATGTAGTGAGGCTTTGTTTAAAAAAAAAATCCCCCTACTACCCAAATAAGTGGGCCAGTGAGGTGGCTCAGCGGGACCCTCCAGGGAGCCTGACAACCCAACTCCATTTCCAGGGATCCGTAAGGTGAGGAAGAAAACCAGCTTTTGTGAGCGGCATTTGAATGCTTACGTGTACACAAATAAAATACAAACGTTTTAAAAAAGTAGTCCATCAGCAGTTGGTGGTGGCCCACACCTTTAATCTCAGTGTTTGGGAGGCAGAGGCAAGTGGATTTCTGTGAGTTCAGGGCCAGCCTGGTCTACAAAGCGAGTTCCAAGACAGCTAGGACTACTGCACAGAGAAATCCTGTCTTGAAAACAAATCAAAACAAGTGGCCCATAGCTTCCATTGATATATCTCTCATGTAAATGGTGTCAGAGTTAGGAGTGCTCTGTCTGGTTTTGTATGTGTGTGTATATGGGGGTGTCATGTACTTGTATGTGTATGGGAGGTCAAATATTGCTTAGAGCTCATCCACTTAGCTAGGCTGGGTGGTCAATGAGCACCACGGATCTAGTCTCCATTACCCCTTCCATTGCTGGGCTTAGGGTCCCACATAGCTAATGAGAATTTAAACTCACATCTGGATGCTCATGTGGCAAGTACTCTACACACAGAGCCATCTCCCATCACCTTTTTCTGAGGTACACCCAAGACTGGCATTAAACTCCTCATTCCCCGACTTCCTATCTCCACCAGGTCACACTGCATTTTGTTTGTTTTTATTATGATTGCCTGAGTGTGGGCTCCCATGTGACACAGTTCAAGCGTGGAGGTCAGACGACAACTTTTGGAAGTAGCTTTTCTCCTTGAACCACATAGCAGGAGTGTAGGGGAGAAGGGATACAGGAGGAAGTGATCTGTAAGCTGACAAGGACGCTGGGGAGTCTCTAGCACATGCAAGTGCTGACATTCCTAGAGGGTGGTGTTTGGGGCAGTACCCAAGTCCCGCCAGAGTGGAGCAGCTTGCAAGGCGAGAAGACAGGGTGGAGTGTTTGGCTGCACTTGGGTCCTGGGTTCTTGCTGTTTCACCAAAGAAACATAGGAATGAATTAGTGATGGGTGGTTGCTAACGGTTGAGTTGCCTTCCTTCTGCTGCAGACAAGTGATCCCAGTGTGCATTGCCCAAGTTGGACTCCCCTGAGTGTCATGCCTTGATCCTCCGCCTGGCAGGGAGAGGCCTTATTTAGCCCAGCCTGGCTCTCCTGAGCTTTCTTTGGAATGTCTATATATAGGGAAGAGTGCGGCCCAGTTGCCACTGTCCATCTGCCTTCCTTGGTGTCGGGTCCACCATGCCCTGACCCCAGATTCAGCTGTCTCCATGATCTTTCTGTTGATTTAGCAACTGCCCATGAGCCTTGACTACCTCACCGCTCAGCCTGGACCCTGAGGATTCTTCTTCTTCTTTTTTTTTTTTTCTGAGACAGGGTTTCTCTGTGGCTTTGGAGGCTGTCCTGGAACTAGCTCTTGTAGACCAGGCTGGTCTTGAACTCACAGAGATCCGCCTGCCTCTGCCTCCTGAGTGCTGGGATTAAAGGCATGCAAGCCACCAGCGCCCACCGACCCTGTGGATTCTTAGGGTGAAATTCTCTCTGGATTTCTTCTACCCCCTACCTTCACTCTACAGAGGATCAGCTGAACTTCAAGAAAGGGCTAGCTGCCCCTTTCGTGTTTTCATAAGTATATGTGTATTTATGAATATTTAATGTGTAATCTTTACATTCCACACCCCATGGATTTCACAATAGAAATAAGTATTGAATAACTACATTAGTAAATGAGCATTTTGCTCATAGAAATGACACTTCCAGTGCTGGAGAAGCAGCTCAGTGGGGACAATGCTTGCCTATCACGCACAAGTCTCTTTCTTTAACTCCCAACATCTGCATGATGGTGTGGTGTGTAAAACCCCAGCATTTGGGAGGTAGAGGCAGGAGGATAAGGGAGCTCAAGATCACTGGGCGGTGGCGCACGCCTTTAATCTAGCACTCAAGAGGCAGAGGCAGGTGGATCTCTGTGAGTTCGAGGCCAGTCTGTTCTACAGAGAAAGTGCCAGGATAAGCCCCAAAGCTACACAGAGAAACCCTGTCTGGAAAAACAAAACAAAACAAAAAGAATTGCCAGGGCTCAGTGGTTAAGAGTACTTGCTGCTCTCCCAGAGGATCTTGGTTCATTCCCAACAGTCACATGGTGACTCCCAACTGTGATTCTGATGCCTTCCTTTGGTCCCTTTGGGCACCAGGCATGCTCACAGTGCACAGACGTACATACTGACACAACACCCATACACATTCAAAAGTTAAGCTTTAAGAGAATCACCAAGGGCGGGAATGTAGTTCAGTTGGTCACCGAAGGCCGTGTGTGTGGCTCACTTGGAGAGTGGCGTACGCAAAGCCCTGACTTGGATTCACAGCACTACATGAATCTATCATGCCTACAGCGGGGACTTGGGAGACTAAGGCAAGAGGATTGCTCGAGCCCAGGAGTTCAAGACCAGCTCAGTTGACAGTGGAGACTCTGTTGAAAAATCAAAGGACTTAGTGGCATATGCCTGTAGATCCCAGCACGCTGGAGATGGAGGCCGGGGATTAGAACTTCAACATTATTCAGGGCC